CACTGTATTGCTTGTTCTCATTTATATATAACTCTGCATGTGAACTGGCCTTGTGGCCCTTTGCTTGTGCTCGGACTGTGTGGTGACTTTGTGATCCACCCTGAGCTTGCTTTGCTTTGCTTGACTGGTCTTGTGACCACTTGTTCTCCCCCACTTTGCCTATGGGGGTGTGTCAGAACATTATAGTTTTTATATTTGTGTAGGCTATACTGGGGTAGCCCATAAGGGATACAACCCAATTAGGGTTAGTACTTGTACCCAACTTTTTGCTAGTTCATCATTCCTTGTTCGTTACTTTGAAAGCTACGCGCCTGTATCATTACCGCAATAGCTTATATAGAGCATGCGGAAGGTCGAGGGTCACTCGAAGGTCAACAGTCGACGACACTCAAGGGTCGTGACCCTTGACTGCCCAGTAACCGCACTTGGAAGTTACACGATGCAACACGGTAACTGTCAAGAATAGCAATAGTCGTGGTTACTGTAGCAATGCAATTCAGTTAATAAGGGAATGTACCCCTCAGAGTACATGGCTAGCTAGGATTGCTATTTATATCTTTGTACCACTATCATTTAATCATCTTGTCCTCTTTCAACTTATTAACAAGGTCATTACAAATACTTCATTGTCTTCTCTCAAACGTGACATACTTATCCTATCCACTACGATCCTTCACTTATAACAACAAATGTTAAGTGTTTAGTGGTTGTTCCAACAAACCAGGCTTCTGGTGTCTGCGCAGGTTGCTGCAGGTGTTTCCGTGGGAACCGGAAACGTAGATATGTGTGGACGAAACCTGGTCATGAAACCAGATATTGCCGGAAAACCAGGTGTTACAGAAATGTTTTGAGTGTTTTTGTAAGGAAACTAACAGTGGTATTCAGTTTAGATTTTGCAATGCAACATCTCATACAGGAAAGCGATGCTACCTATGTGAAAGTGAAATCCTACCCCAGCACGTTGACCTGTCAAAGAGCTTTTGAGTTTTGCGAATTCACACATCGTTCCATGTTAGCTAGCTAGTAGGCATGCATGGAACCACCCCTCTTCAGCATCTGAATCTGACTGCTCGTATCGGCTAGCATGCATTGCCTAACCGTTGGATCTTTCGGAAGTCACATGGGCTCCTCAGGTTCCGTATCGCATTGAGCCGCGGCCTGCACCACGCACGACAACCGCTTTCTCCAAAATTTAAGGTTCCGCCTACTATGGATTTTCAAGGATTTTCGTATGCAGCCGATTGTCGCGTATCTTTGGACCAACAGCTCACCATCTTCTCGTTCATTGCGAGCGTTCCGTACAGGATTTTTGTGTGTTCTTCACAGGAACAATGAATTTCTTGCGCCGACTCAAATGCCGTAGTTGGGATGAAGCTTCATGGGGAGTCTCTTACAAACGTGCGTTAAAGCGGTGCTCGTTCTACCGCAATTGCTGGCGCTACTTCATCTGCAGCATATCCGGGCTATGGCGGAGTCATGGTGTGCGTTCACTGTGGGGGCATGTCCTGGTGGGCCTCACTTATCATGGCCGTAGTGTGCCTCGTTTTTGTTGTTGCACTCTTCTGCCTTCTGTATCGAGTAATTAGTGTGGGCCTAAGGCGTTGGCGGCAACGCAAGCAAATCCAGCATCATCAGCATCAGGAGGAGAATCTGCAGCAGTAGCAGCAGCAACAGCAACAGCATGAATGGCCAGAATTGCAGGATGATTTTTTACCGACGTCAATTCAACCAACGACAAGGGAGACAGCGACGTGTTCTTCACAAGGTGGTCCTCCATTATATCCTACAGAGCTGTACAATGTTCAGACATCCCCTATAAGGCCAAGTTACGGTACTCTAAATGACTAGTGATGTGCTTCTTTAGGCTTACAGGTGCAATTGACATACCTAGTGCAATAGAAGATTCAACATACCTAATGCACATGATGTAGTGCCCCCTGGCAGCATAGGAGTGCTCTAGCTCACTTCACGCATAGCCAGTGTCTTGATTGCACCATCTACACATTTTACTCTGGCTGCAAACATCTCCTTAACATACGAAACCATAGGAAGTTAACCCAAAAGCCCCAATTAAGTCAAACGTTAAAGAATCAATGAATGAGCTGACTGAACTGAACCCACATTCATTTTTATTATTATTATTATTATTACTAGTTATATGTACAGCACATAAAGCATGGGAACAAAGACAATAACTACCCCCTAAACAGCCCGAATTGACAACGACACTCAACAACAACCCAACCCAATACCATGCCCTAAGGATGCCCCTCAGAACCTACATTCCTTTCCACCCTCCCCACCAACCCCAACCCCCTGACCCCCTCCCTTTCCCCCTCCCCTACCCCCTCACAGCCGTGCATCCGACAAATACGGGGCCTCCACCCAGAGAGCCCCCCCCTCATCCACCTTGTCATCCCTCTCCCTATCTACCAAGTCAACGTCCACCCTGCCCATGGACGACGCAGCCCCCAACAAGACAACGCGAGCCTGCGCACGTTGCAATACCACCCCAATAAGCATCTTCAAAGACCCCAAGAGATATGACGAGAATGACGTGTCATCTTCCCAACAGGCCCCTCGCGTCACAGCTAACCGTAAGTGAGTGTCCCTCTGCTGACTCAACCAACGTCTGAAACGTCCACCCAAGCACCCCCACGTCTCAACGATCAAAGGTGTGAACTGCACCCCCCGATTGCTTGCCAGCAACGGTGCGTAATCATTCACCTTCCGTCGCTCCCACTCCTTGGCCGCCACGGCCATAGTCCGCCCGCACTGCCCGACCAAAGATGGAGAGAGCGACGAGGGGTCTGCAACACTAATCTCCAAGGCGTGCGCCTCACCGTCCATCATTCGACGCACTGCAACATCCATACGCTTTCCTGGCAACATGTCATCCTCCATCGTCACCACCCCCCCCCCCCCCCCCCCCCCCCGATGCCTTGGAAATCTTCGCCACCGCAAACTTCACCTCATCGTGCACCCGAGAGGGACCGTGCTGGTGCTTGCATTGCAGTGCATGGTGCGGGTCCGCCGGGTCCGCGTACACCGTGCCGCATACACAATTCCCTGCCACGTGCAGCTGCTGGATCGGAAGGCCCAGACGCACAGCTGCAGTAATGCTCAACTCAGCAGCTGTGAAGGTGAAATCCGCATGAGCTGGGATAGCCGAGACCCATGTACCAGCCCCCGGGAGGGATGTGAAACGGGCCAGGGTGGCATCGTCACGGGCCAATCGGCGCACAGCCTAAAGTTCCTCCACAGCCAATTGCCGCAGCCGCGCCTGGAATAGACGAACAGGGGGGGCAGCGACGCAGATAGGCAGGCTCGGCATCTCCCGGCGTACAGCCTCTGGCAGCTGCTCGAGGCTCTTGGAGAACCAGGGATCAAGAAAACCCACCCCTGCCATTGTCCTGCCACAAGCGTAAGACAGTGGACTCAAGGAAGTCACTGCTCGAATCCCAAAGCCGCCGAGACGAACAGCTAGGTGCAACTGCAGGCGAGCCAGCCTAGACCGTGCAGGGTCGTACTCCCAGGTACCAGACAGGAAGAGCTGCTCGAAACAGTCCTCTAGACTACTGTCCCAGTCACTGAAAGCGTCCACCACCTCTGGCCGCGGCGGCACGGTCCGCGCGAGGTACATCGGCCGCGCTGAAACAGCGATAGCCAAGAGGTGTGACGCCATCTGCGGGTGGTCGAGCAAGGGGAGCCACGGCAAGGGCGTCTGCAGTTTCCGAAGCCGCTCCCGCAAACGAGACACCTCCTAGTCCTCCTCTCCAACGGGGACCCCCACCACTGTGAGTCCCTCCTCCACTCGCTGCATGCCCAAAGGCATCTCCTGTACCGCGTCAGAGGCCTCCCGTACCCAGAATCGGCACTTGTGGGCCTGCACCTCCAACCCCACCCCTTGCAGTCGTTCCCGTAACACACCAAACGCCTCCAAAAGCCTTGCCACGGGGCCCAAAATGTAGGTATCATCCGCATAGCTCAGGAAAAGCAAATCAGCAAACTCTGTAGTGACCGGCTCCATGACCAGCTGCTGCGTGAATGCGAAGAGGAAAGGCCCGAGTGGGTCCCCCTGCCGGGATCCTCGTGCTGAAGCGAGAGTTTCTACGAATGGGCCTGCCAAGACATAAAGATCACTAGGTGTCCCGTAAAAGATACCTAAGAATGGGATGAGACCCAAAAAGGGGGACTCCCGCAGCCCCTCAAACATCGCCCGCCGGTGGAAGGAGTTGAATGCGTTCGCAACATCTATCTGCAGCGCGCACCAATCTGTTTGAGTAGTCAGAGCCGAGCGAAAGGCGTGAGTCAAAATCTCCATTCCTGCGTTGGTGCCAACGCCCAGCTGGTGACACGACTGAAAGTGGGAGGCCATCGCTGGTCTGAGTGTAATGCAGAGTGCTCGTGCAAGGATGCGCGGAAGGACCTCTCCAATGGCCACCGGCCTGACATCGCCGTTGGGCTTAGACAGCCCAACCAGGTTAGAAGCAGCAAGCCAGGGCCGTGCCCGCTCGGGAACCTGCCCTGCAACCCATTGGTTGAATACATCGAGCAGGTGAACCAGGCTGGTCGGTTCTGTGAGGAACGTGTCGCGCAAGTGCTCCGTAAGCCACCCCGACGGCCCTGCAGCGGAAGCGCGAGTAGCTTTGTGAATAGCCCTAGCTAGTATGTCGACTGTGAGCACTGGTCGTTGAGGAGCATCGATGTCAAAAGTGCGGACCCAGTCCGGTATTTCGCTCACACTGGTGGGAACGTTAGCTGGCAAGCCCCCGGGGTCTCAGCCCTGGGCAGGGCTTCATCGCGCTTGTGATGCCCCCCAAACCCCCGGTCTTCCAGTCCTTCGCCTTGCTGTCGCCCCTGCTGGTCACCAGGCTGCCGCCCCAGGTGGTCACAAGCCGCCGCCCCTGCAGCTCACCAAGCTGCTACACCTGCTGCTCACCCGATTGGCGCCCCTGCCCACTGCCCTGCTGACGCTGCTCCCGGAGGACTCCTCGGTGCTAGTCCCAGTGATCCCCAGACTGCTGCCCCTGCTGGGCTACGAAGCACCCCCGTTCAGTGGCCCTAGCACGGCCACGACCCCGACCACGCCTGCGAGGGCGCACGTCGACGTGCGAAGTAGCCGCGGACTGCACACCCTGCGTGCTCTGGAAGAGGAAGGCATGGTCCTCCGCTCCTGCCCTTCCCTCTTGCAGTCCCCGATCCCCTGCTCTCGGGAAAGGATTCAAACCAATGCTCTCCCCCACAGCCAGCCCTACAGTCAGCGACAGGGCCGGTTGTGTCCCCACCAGCAAATCTGGTTGCTCTCGCACAGCTTCCCCCCTCCATTCCCCATGCTCCTTCAAAGGCAGCCCGTGCTGGACCGCTGTCGACAAGCCGTGCTGCCGCTCTGCCAGGCAGCTCGGCTGGCTTGCTGGCATCAATCCTAAGAAGTTTGCTGCTGTCAGGTCCTGCTGCTCGCATGCCCTTTCCTCCCGGCCTTCCTCTGCCGGCAAAACCTCCTGTGGGCCCACTCGCATCTCCTCCAGCCCCCCCCCCCCCCCGGCAGCTCCCGCAGTCCGCCTGCGCTGGCTTCCAATCAGCGTCTCCGCTCCTGTCGCCCTGCCAGGCATGGCTCACGTGGTGCCATGTTGGTACCCGCTAAAGCCCCAACGGAGCTGCGCTTCTCTGTTATCGTGGAACTGCATGAAAGCTCACGCCGGCGTGTGTCGTGCAACCCTTGTAAGAGCTGGCACTGCGCTTGCCATGCTGCCAATGCCGTGTCCGCCCCCGAGACACCTGGCTGCTGCTCTAGATCATCTAACCCATGAGAGTCCTGCGTGTCCGGCTCCTCTGAGGGAGCACGCGGGCTCTCGGGTGACGGCTGCCTGCCCACTGAGGGTGAGTGTGGGGTGACAGCAGCCTCCGATTGCTCACGACTCATAGGCAACGTTTCACGCAGAGGCACCTCCCCATCACTAGGCCCCGAAAACCCCCCTGGTAGTGGCGTTAGTACGGGTGTGTCATTCGCGCTCACCGGAGTAGGTGGTGTCAGAATACTGAACAAGAATGAATGCATTGAGCAGAAAGTTGGTACAAGTACTAGCCCTCATTGGGTTGTACCCCTTATGGGCTACCCCACTACAGCCTACACAATATAAGAAGTATAACATTTTAACACACCCCCACAGGCAAAGTGGGGGAGAACAAGTGTCAGTGCGCAGAAGCAGCGACGGGTCAGCAGTCAAAGGAGCAAACCCAAGAGCCGCAAGCATCGTCCTCAGTGTGTCGTGCCACTCGCGAGGCGCCTGGCGGAGACCGTAGACTGGCCGCCGGAGGCTCCACTGGGTACCTGAAGGAAACGACCTAGTGAAGGCAGGTGGGTGGCGCAGCCAGATCTCCTCGTGCAGGCTGCCCTGCAAGAAAGTTGTGCTGAAGTCAAGAGAGTGAAGCTCGTAGTCACGCTGAGCGGCGACGTGCAGCAGCACTTGAAGAGTGGTCATCTTCGGGGTAGGGGAGAAGGTCTGGAAGAAGTCAACTCCGTGTCGTTGACTGAAGCCTCGTGCAACGTAACGAGCCTTGAAGACAGACGGAGAACCCGGCGGCCGCTTCACCCTAAAAATCCACATGCCATTGACTATGTTAGCCCAAGGAGGGGGAACTGCGTCGACGTAGGTGCCTGTGGACTTCCAATATGCCATCTCTACGTCCATGGCTGTCTGCCACTAAGAGGAGTAGGGACTCGTAATCGCCTCTGCGTAAGAGCGTGGGGTCGGGATGTTTGGTGCATCCAGGTCTCCCTCAGGTGCAAGCAGCATGGCCACGAGATGAGGTACAGCAGCTGCAAGACACTCAAAGTCCTCCTGCCTGTACTCAAGGACGTCCGTGCCAAGAGCACACTCACCCCTGACGGACGGAGGACAGTCAGACTCATACTTAGCAACAAGACTAGCGGCGTAGTCGAGACGACAGGCGGCAGCAAAGTCAACAAGCTCAGCAACTAGGGAAGATGCAACAGTGGACTCAAACGAAGGGTCAGTGACAACAGTGGCTAGAAGATGTGGGATTGCATGACTGGCAGCGCGAACTAAGTCAGACTCAGGGTCCGGACCGTCAGCAAGAGAGGTTGCAGGAGGAGATGGCAGGGGAACGCGTAGAGGAACAGAGGAAGGACGAAGTGCCATAATGTGAGTGCCAGGGACAGGAGGAGGACGCGGACGAGGAACACGACGACTAGTGCGAACAGCGCGAACAAGCGAGGCAGGACGAGACTCGGGCTCACAACGCTCTGTAAGAGAGTGTGTCTGCTCTACATAAGGACAAGGAGCAGGCAGTGGGGAGTCTGTCTGTAACTGTGGCTATGACAGGTGAGGCGGTGGACACAGCAAGCTAGGAGTAAAGCCAGTAGAAGATGGGAGACTAAGAACCTGGCGAAGGACCGAGTCAATTGGCGGCAGAGACGACGGTGGCGGTGGAACGAAAAACGGTCGCCGCTGCACAGTGCCTCCAGCACCAGTACCCCCAGCTCCAGCACCCCCAGCGCCAGCACCTCCAGCTCCAGGGTCTCGAGCTCCAGCGCCTCCAGCTCCAGGGTCTCCTGCTTCAGTGCCTCCAGCTCCGGCGCCTCCAGCGCCTGCGCCTCCAGCTTCAGGGCCTCCAGCTCTAGCGCCTCCAGCGCCATGGTCTCAAGCTCCAGCTCCTCGAGCTCCAGCGCCTCCAGCGCCTCCAGCGCCAGTCCCTCCAGCTCCAGGGTCTCCAGCTCCAGTGTCTCTAGCTCCAGTGTCTCCAGCTCCAATGCCTCCAACACCACCAGCTTCGGCAGCTCCAGTACCTCTAGTACGAGCACCTCCGGAACCAGCAGCTCCAGCACCTCCGGTACCTCCAGCTCCAGCAGTAACTCCAGCACCTCCACGACTAGTAGCTCCGTACCTCCAGCTCCAGTGCCTCGAGCGGCAAAGCCTCCACCTCCAGGGTCTCCAGCTCCAGCTCCTCCAGCTCCAGCCCCTCCAGTGGGAGGCCCTCCAGCTCCTGCAGCGCCACTCCAAAGGTGTGTGCGCTGAGCAAACCACTAGCGCAGCTACTGCAGTGAGAGAGGCTCCTGCCAGTGAGATAGTCGTGGCGAGGCACCCGTAGGACCTCTTGCAGACGCAATACCCCTAGGCTCAGCACACCCAGACTCCGCACCCTCCGACTCAGCACCCCCAGGCTCCGCCCCCTCAGGCTCAGCACCCCCAGGCTCCGCACCCTCAGGCTCAGCATCCCCAGACTCCGCACCCTCAGTCTCAGCACCCCCAGGCTCCGCACCCTCAGGCTCAGCACCCCCATGCTCCGCACTCGCAGGCTCAGCACCCCCAAACGCAGCACCCCTAGCAGCACCTGAGTCTACAGTGACCTCGACAGGCTCAGCCAGGGGGAGTGGGTCTACCTGAGACACACCTGAGGGAGCAGGACCCTGAGGGGGGAGGGGGTCTACCGGAGGGGGACCTGGAGTGAGGAAGAGCGGCGAGGGGGGGAGAGGGGCAGTGCGGTAGGGGAAGAGGCCGTAAAGGGAACCGACTCGTCAAACGTGACGTCCTGAGAGGGCAGGACACGGCACGATGTGGGGTGGTAAAACTGCCAGCCAGGCGCGTAAGGGGGAAAGCCAAGGAAGACGCAGGGAATGGCGCGGGAGGAGAGCTTGTCCGCAGAAGTATCGCACACAAAGGCACGAGAGCCCCAGACCAGGAACACCGACGCATCGCCAACCATCCCCGTCCAATGCAGTGTAGGCGAGGTCTCCGGCAAGGAGACACGGGGCCAGAGGTTGAGCTGATGCGCAGCGTACTGGACCGCAAACGGCCATAGAAAATAGGGAGCAGCCGCATGGATCATGGAGGTACGAACGACCTCCATGACTAAGCCAATGCGGCGCTGAGCAACCCCATTTTGATGCGGGGAGGCCGGAAGCATGAATGACTGGAGGATGCCCTCCCCACGACAAAAGTCCCGCAAGAGGTCGGAGAACTCACCACCTCTGTCAGAGTGAAGACGCAGGACAGGAAGGTCCTGGCAGAACTGCTCGCGGAGCTGGAGACGGACTGCGCGGATCCAAGGGATCAAGACATCAACGACCTCACCCTTGCTGCGCAAGGGGAAGACCGTGGTGTAATGCGTGTAGTCGTCAACAACCAGCAGGAAGTAGTGCTCGCGGTCCTGTCCACTGACGCGGGCTGGGCCCCACACGTCCATGTGGAGAGTCTGCAGGGGAGCAGTCGTCGGCGGAAACGAGGAGGAGTGAGGAGCGGCGCGCTGCCGCCCCTCGACGCAAGGAAGGCAGGGCCGGGCAGGCGAGGGCGGGAGGGGAGGCAGAGACCTGGGAAGACCAGAGACAAGGAGGCGGGAGTGCATGCCACGAAGGCGTGGCAGGGAGGGGTGACCAAGGCGGTGGTGCCAAAGGAGAGTCTGGTGCGTCAGGAGGCGACATGACCAGACTGGACGCAGACACCTGACCAGACACAGCTACCTGAGTAGGCTTAGTAGTTAGTGAATACAGACTCGACCCAGGCCGACGGGTGAACCTTACCAGGTGATGGCCCGTCCGTGTACACGTGCAGATCGACACACGCTGACCCCCAGGAGTGGTGGTAGTGACCATCGCATCCTGGAGGGCAGCGGTACTCACCAAGTTCGTAGAGAACGAGGGGAGGTGAAGACCTGAGAGTGAGTCGGACGGAACCGCCGGACACGGGAGAACAGTGGAGGAATGTGCAAAAATTGGGCCCCCTGAGCGGTCAGCCAGTCTGACTGGAACAGATGCAGGGAGTGGAGTGAGTGTGGTACTGTCGCGAAAGAAATAGCGGGAAGCACCTGAGTCAAGTGTGAAGGTGTGCAAGGCCTCAGCAAGCGCAGTACCAGGGAGAGCAGACTCGCTAGCACCTAGAGCAGCAGCCTCTATACCTGGGTCTGGCGGCACACACAGGTAATAGTCACCCTCAACACTAACAGACAAGGCATACATGGCAACTAGGATTGCATCATAGTCAAGAGCAAAGATATCAACACCAGACCTAAGCAGCTCTAGCCAGCGGGGGCGCTCAGCCTTGTCGCCAAACTCTGCACGCTAAGCGTTGTCAAGGCGGGAGAAGCAGCGGTGCTGTGTGTGAAACTTCCCGCATGTCTGACTAGCGCGGTCACCTGTGCGAATGACATACGGGCAGCGAACACTACCCCCAGACGCCCCACGCTGAGCAAACCACTCACGAAGTTGCTGGGGCATAGGGGTCTCGCTCCGACGCTGCTACTGCTGCCTCTGGCCACCGTCAGAACCTCCCCTCTGAACAGCTTCACCCCGTCCGCCACCACTGCCGTCGCCACCACTCCCACTGCTGCCACCACCGCCGCCACCGAAGCCCCCACTCCCGCCACCACTCCCACCGCCACCTCCGCCACCTCCACCGCCTCCACCCCTGCTGCCACCGCCACCACTCTTGAAACCCTTGCCCTTGCCGCTGCGGCGCTTCCCACTAAGAGCAGAAGCAGCCCCGACGTCCTCAGTACCAAGGATGTCAATAGTAGCTGCAGAAGAGTAGGAGGGGGCAAGGGGGGAGGGGGAATACCCCTCAAAGAAGGGTGTGCAAGGAGTGCCACGAGCAGCACCTACAGCGACTACGCTAGTCTCAGCTGCAAGGAGGTGCTTCTCGAGCAGGTCGAGAGTGAGGTCTGTGGGGTCAAGCGCGAGAAACTGGTCCCTGACTGCGCGAAGAGAGATAGGGAGGCGGGTGACTATGAAGTAGAGAGTGATGTACATCGGGGGCGGGTTCTTGTCTAGAAACTCGGCTGGGAGGGCAGCGCGGTAGCGAGTGTCGCTAGTGCGAAGGTGGGTAATGAGGTCCTCGACTGTAGCAAAGGCTGACAGCTCGGGAAAAAGGTAGGGCAGTATAAGGCGGCCGAGAGAAGCAGTGGCAG